CTGAAGGTCCTTAGACACCTTTAGGATCTGTCACATCTTTTAAAGGCCAGAGTTATCATTCTGTGAAGATCATTGGATGGCATGTGGCCCTACATGTCACCGAGCTCGTGAGATAACTCATGCTTTATCAAGTCCGCTATATGACGTCCTGGGTCCCTGGCCCCGTGATGTAAGATCTACTATCCTTTTTGGTCCGCAGTTCCCTAACTTCACATGATCCACTAGCCAGATCGTCTGTATATTTCAAAGTCCTTAATTCTACTGTTATGTATTCTTAAATCAGGCTTTTTCAATGTTAGCATCATTTGTTGACGGATTGCACCTTATCTGGTTGTCCCCGACCCTGTAGCTATGCTGGTAACTGCATTCTTTTTGTATGAATCTTGTTCTTGCTTTTAAATAGAAGTTCTTTGCAGATCTTTTTTCCAATCATGGTCCTGGCAGAGTTGTTGTTGCCCTTTGAACTTGAACTTGCAACCTTACAATTGAGACCCGGGAGCGCTAACCACTGCACTATCGACCCATGGGTTTATTATAATGCTTTCTTTTGTAAAATCTTTTTTTTTTTTCTTGTTTCTTTACTTCTTTGTTTTTCTTGTTTCTTTATCCTTTCTTTTTTGTTTTATAGTTTCTTTATTTCTTTTTTTAGTATTGTGTTTCTTTTGCTGTTCTGTTTTTTGACTTTTATTCTTATTCTTTTCTGAAATGAGTTTAAGCTATTTATTTTCTTTTTTTCTAATTCTGTTTATTATTACATCTCTGATATATTTATAATTAAAATCTACCTCTATTTAATTGTTTTTATTTTTGAATATTTCATTGATTGTTTTAATATAATAGTTATTTTCTAAGATCTACTGAATATACTTTATTCTTTTTTCTTTAGATTTATCTGACAAAATATATGTTAAAATATTTGTCTTAAAAGACTTGTTTCTATTACATATTCTGTTTTTTGAAGACCATCAGCTATATTCAATTATATTCATAAGAAATAAGTCACTAGTTTCTTCATTAGTTGATTCTTCATTTTGTTTTTCTAATTCTATATTTATGTCTTTACTGCTTTTCTCTATTCTTTGCAATATGTTATTTTTTAGTATTTTAAGTTTGTTAGCAGTTTGACTTGTTTGATAATGTGATATAATAATGTTAAGACTTTTCATTTATTCTTCTAGTATTACCAGTTCTTGCTCTTTATTTGTTTTTTTTTCTTCTTAATATGTTATTTCTTTGTTTATATTTGTGTTGTATTTAAAAGAATCTAAATTAAAGCTTATTAATTTGAGCTTTTCTGTCTACTCTTTAATTATCTTTTTTTTGAACTAGCTTGTTTTTATTAATCTTAAGATTTCTAATATTTGACTATATACCAGTATGTCATGAAATATAATATGTTTTGGATTATATATTACTAAATCTTTAATAATGTGTTTTATGTTACTTGGGTTTTGTGTAGAAGTTTTAAGAACTTAGTTCAAAATTTTATAATTTACATATCTTCAATTTCTATCTCCTATTCTTCTAATATAAGATATTGTTACAAAGTAAATTATTAGCATAGTATAGTATATTATATTATTAGTAGTTATTATATATTCATTATTGTATTTTATATTATATTTATTATTAGTTATTAGCATAGTTATATTATAGTATATAGTAGTTAAAAAATAGGATCTTAATTGACTGTTAGAAGTGTGATACAGACACATGATATTGGGTAACATCTATGATGTCATTATTGTTTTACAAACTCCAAGTACTCCTACACAAGTTTCATGTATCTTAGTACAATTTACTGTGTCAAATAACATAGTACAAGAATCTCAAGTATCTCTTTTACAATCTTCAAGTATCTTTGCATAATTCCAAGTATCTCAACACAATTTCCAGATGTCTCTGTATAATCTTAACTGTCTCTGTACAGACTCAAATACCTTGATACAAACTCCAAGTATTTTAAGTACAAATGATAAATACATATAAACATTGTTTCAACTATTTCTGTACAAACTCCACTTGCTTCTGCACAATCTCCACTATCCCAAGTACAGTATCAAGAGATATTACTCAAACCCCCACTATCTCTACTAGATAAAAAGATATATAAAAGATATTTTTTTCCTTCTCTGCCAATTCTAAGTTTCTATATTTCAACTTAGACATAATGACCTTTTAATTATAAAGTATGATATTCTTTCTCTAGAGTAATTTCTACAGGCAAGGTTGTTACTATATATGTTGTTAATAAAAAGTTAATCTATATACTGTTATTATCTTAAACTGTTTGTCTGCTACTATATAGTAAAGTAAACTACTATACCTCCATCCTATATATATTTGCAATAGTCAATCACTGTATCAGGTAACCTTGTTACTTGGTTGTATTGTACCAAAAAGGCTGTAACCCTGTAACAATATGATATTTATATTGCAATTTTTATCTATCTGTTTATATTCTAACAGATTAGATTAAAAAATTTTTTTTTGACTAATTAGTATCTAAAATTAAATTTTTTATATTTTTAGTATGTTGTTAGTATTACATTACTAATTCTATAGTGATGCTTACTATTTTCTAATTAAATAATGAGTTTTGTTTGTTTGTTATTATTTATTGTTATTATAGTTACCATATATTTTGTTTTTTGTTTTTTTAAAATAATATCAATTTTTCAAAAAATTCTATTTGTTGTGTTGAAAAGATTGTTATTTCTTATTAATATCTTAATATAACTTCTTTTGTCTTCTGAACTCTGTTATACTATATGTATTTTCTTCTGATACAACCTTTTTATTAATTGTTTAAAGAATGTTTGTTAACCTGTTTTCTTGTTATTCTTGTATTTTGTTTTCATTTGTTTTAGAATTAAAGATCAACAAGAAGAATTGTAAATTGATAATTTTAAGCTTTAAATAAACTTGTTTAATATTAAAAATATATTTTTTTAATATATATTCTTTTAATTTTTTTGATTTATAAAATAAATAATAAATAAAAATATTCTGTTAATATTTAAAATAAATAAATAAATAAATAAATAAAAATATTTTTTTTAATAAAAATTTACTGATTTTACTTATTTTTATTTAAAAAATTAAAAAAATTTTATATATTAAAATAATATATTTTTAAATTTACTTAAAATCTAAAATTATAATTTATTAGTAAATTTTGCAATATGCAAAATTTATATTTTTATTAATAAAAATATATAAAAAATTTTGTATTTTACAAAATTTTATTAATGAATTATAATTTTAAACTTTAGATAAACTTGTTTAATATCTAAAAATACAGCATATTAATATATATTTATATTTTATATAAGTTTATTTAAGGGTAAAAATGATCTAAATTATTTTTAATAGTAATTATATAGCAAATCATATTATATCATATGATTTATATATAAAATTTTGTTTATATTATACAAATTTTATATATAAAAATTGGGTAATTTAGAAAACTCATAAGCTGATCCAGAAAAACTTAGTAATATATAAAATACTTTTTTTTAAAATAAAATAAATTATAAAATTTTATTAAAATAATTAAAAGTTTTAGATTTATGTATTATTAAATTTTGATAACAATTAAATATAATACTAAAAAGTTTATGACAATAGACAATAATTCTCTCTGATGATCACTTAAACTAAACTAACATCAAAACAGTTTAAAAAGTTATGTTTTTAAATAGATGATATCTTTGATTCTGTTTTAATATATAAAGCAGATTGTTGCTAACGAACTAAAAGTATGTAAAAAACTGAAATGCAAACAACTCTTTTAGTAATTTGTGCCAAGATCAAACTTTTCTGTAAATAAACTCCTTAATATGTTTAATATCTAAACCAGAAAGATATTCTGAAAACAATAGAGAAAAACTCTAATTAAAAGTTATTAAAAACTTAAAAACAAAACAAACAACTAAAAATACTCTTTTTAGTCTAACTTTTTATATATTATACTTATTAATCTTTTTCATCTATTTCATTTTTTTTTTATCCAAAAATGAAGAATTTGACTTACCCTCTACAAAAGATCGACATTGTTTACTATTTCCTTTTTTGATCAATTACATGTTGTAACATGATATAATAGGAACACAACAATTATATGTATGACCTAATATATAATATAATGAAGAAATAAAGAAGGATTTAAGTTAGAGAATTATAACAAATTAAAAATATATAATAATTTCTAGAATCATGTATATAGAATTTTTACTCTTTTAGCACAGGTTAAAGTGTAGTTAGATCCTTAATACAGGTTTAAAGTATTAGTAACCTTATTGGAATAGTTATAATAAGATGTGTTCGCTGACACTTATTTTTTTTTTTTTTTTTTTCTGTATCCCTTTTTAATTGAATTTAGTTTAGTTTTTTTTTTCACTTTCCTACAAGAAAGTGTTATCAGTTTGGTAATACTTTATTGTAAGATAATGATTAGAAATAACCTTCCAGGTGGTTTTGTTACTGCCTAATGTAATAGGTTGCTCCTAAGCACTCAAAGAAACAGCTGGAAAAGTTGAATCTTCAAAATTAAATGTGTAATATTTACATTAGTGTTTATATTTTCTTAATAAAAATACATCAGCATGACTATCTAAGTAAAAAAAAAAAAAATACTAAAAAATTTTATTAGTAATATGTTTTTTTTTTATATAAAAAAATTTATTTGCTAAAAAATTATATAACAAATGATCTATGTCACCCCTACTCTTAAAGCTTAAAATTGTTGTTTGTTCTTATTATACTATTTATTTATACTAAATATATAAATTTGTATAATAATCTACAATATTCATATTGTTTACTTGTTTACGTTGTTTTGACCAATCAAATCAAATTTCCGTCATGCTGGACATGGGTGTTATTTCGAATTTTGGCCCAAATTAAGCTTAATGCTGGCAAAATTCGAAATAATGCCAATGACCCTATAAAAAATACCAACCAATTAAAATGCATAATTCCTTGTATCAACATCTTCAATTTGATAATATTGGTCTTGAGTAACATAAATAATAAAGTACCATTCCAAGTAACCACATATCTGATTTTTGATAATATTCTTTAAAATAACGACCTCTTTCATCAACTATATAAAGATTTCATTAACTAAATATTTATATAGATTTATAGATTTAATACATGATATATTTGTTGTACGTTGTAATTACCGGTTAATAGTTCTGGTGCCATAATTTCTAGTGTTCCAGTAGCACCAGGTCTATCACGTTCGGAGAGTTGGTCTAAAATTTCACATTCACCAAAATCCGATATCAATACTCTTGGTCTAAATAATATATAAAATAAATAGATTGTTATAGATAATTATAGATAATAAATATAGATAGTAAATATAGTAGATGATATTGACATACGAACATTACAGTCGAATCTTCCGAGTTATCATATTGTAATGGTAAATTAGAAGGTTTTAAATCTCGATGGATAATACCCTGTCCATGTAATGAGCCAAACCTTAACAAATATTCATAAATAAAGAACAAATTTCACGAAGGTTCAAAGATTATTTTGAAGGTAAAGGAGAGTTGAGGGTCGGTTGATCATTTAAATGACTTGGTTGAAACATCCCCGCACGAAGTAAACGTTCTTTTGGTGTAAGATGATGACCATTAGAATCTTTTTGCATGGAAAAAGTGGATGGTTGAATTCTTCTAAATTGCCACCATTAGCACGTTCCATTAATATTAATAAACATTAAACTTGGTGGGCCTAAAAAAAAAAAGAAAAATATTTCAAGCAATAGAAAACAAATAGAATCTATATAAATATTACACTTATAATATAATCTTATAGTCACAAACATAATTTATATCATTAATGCAATGGGGATTTACCAAAAGTTGTCAACTGATGATGCTCTACCAAGCATGTTTGTAATCCACAATATTTGAATGATGTAATCTTACCAATAAATGAACTTCTCTTAGCATTTTAACCAGCCATGCATGATTATCTCCTGTTGAAAATATTCATAAAGGACAATTGAAATGAAATATTTTAGATTCAATTCAATAAAATAATGGATGTATGAATAATTAATTAATTTATTTGTTCATTAATCGCACTATTGCAGTGGGTAACAAGATGGCAATAAATGGGTTTCCTCAATAAATCAGATGTTAAAATACCATAAACAAAATCCTTTCGAATCTCTTGATTATCAAAAATTCTCGGTGAATAAAGCTGGTACCTAAGATAAATTCAGGATAATCAATTCGTTGTGATAGTAGAATTTTTCATTCATCAATTTATTTACCTCTACTGAACAAATATCAATCTGTCAATCGATAAGATCATTACGTATTTGAACATCGGCATGCTTTTTGAATACTTCCATATCCATAACCATGCGATGTTTACGCGGATAGAGTTCCACGGTTTCACAATGAACGCATTCATTAGTTTTCCCATCTAGTACGAAAAATTGGGGATTAACATTTCAATTCAGAACTTAATCAAGAAACATAAATTACCTTGTCCTATTAAATGGACTTGCTTCTTTGACTACCTATATAAATCATTAAATATAAAATATTCTTAATATTCTAAATATATAGCGTGTAAATTGATCTTTTTTTGTTTTATACCATTGACATTATTGCATATTATCAACAGATTTTCGAACCCTTTATATAAAAATCAAATTAATTATAACATTATAGTTGGATAAAATGCAAGCATTAGATCCGTATAAAATTTACCTATGAGCATCCAATACTTTGTCTAAATGTATATTTGATACGTACAACATCACCGTATATGAATTAATTAACTATTTTGCATCTAATTTTCTTAGTGCATCTCCAACTGAACGCGCTTCAGGTGTTACAATGGTAATTATTTTTATTGGAGAATATGAACGACTCCATTTTAACTTTCTGGATTGAAAAATTATCGAATTTATTAATTTATATAATGCTAAGAATACGATCGCTAAGAGTATATAAAATGCGAAACTTACTTAATATAATCTTTTATTATTTCAAAGTGTTCTCTACAAAACAGATATGCTTCTTGCACACCAGCAATTGCAAGAAGTTCTAAGATATATTCAATTGAGTGGTACACTACAAGGTTGAGGCGACGTTATAATAGTGTGGGGTATGAAATAATCCCTAAGCACAGAAAAATCATACTCGTGGCCTATCAAGAGTTATGGGACAGAATCGTTAATTAAAGCTATCAGCAAGAATTAGCTAAATCGGTGAATGATTATCTACTTTAATAAAATTATTATTATCCGTAGTTTTTATATCTAGCCAATTACAGCTGTTTTCATAAATTCCAGATTTAGAAGCATGACCGGCCATAATTTCCGCATTTAGCAATGCAAGTCGACCAATATTTTGACTTCGATACTATAGAATCAATTCTAGTTAACTTTCATAAATCGATTTTAAACATTCAATAAAGCATAATATTGGTTATATTTTAACTTGAGTCGTAAAATTTTTAATTTATTAATAATAACGATATTTATTAGCACATTCGTAAAATATATTATTTTCAAAACAAAAATTTATAACTTTTAATTTGATTATTTATTTTTATATAACTTTATTAATTTTTATTTGTTTATAAATACAAAAAATTACAAAATTAAATATATATATATATATAAAAAAAAAAAAAAAAAGCGAGATACTTGGTTTCGGAGATTAATTCTCCTACTTTGCTTCGAAGACTAATTCTCCTACTCATCCCAACCACCACGTAGAGGTGTATCTCATGGTTGGGTCGCCTAAAATAAAAAAAAACCTAATAAACGATAAGTTTTAAATTAAAAAAAAAAAACAAAAATAAAGATACAAAATACTTGGAACCAACGACGAAAAGACAAATTTAAATCTAAAAAACTGTAATAAAATAAAATAAAATAAAATATTAAGAACCAGTAATTTTAAGTAAAAAAAAAAAACAAAAAAAAAGATACTGGTACTCGGAACCAACGGTCAAAACGAATAAAACCTAAAGTCTAAAAAGTAACAAAATAAAAAACAAAAAAATTAAAAATAATCTTAATTAAACAAAGAACAAAAAGAAAGATACAATAACACTAGGAACCAACGGTAAAACGAATAAAACCTAAAGTCTTAAAGATAACAAAAAATAATAATAAAAATTAAAAATAGTTTTTAATTAAACAAAGAACAAAAAGAAAGATACAATAACACTAGGAACCAACGGTCAACAAAAAAACTATCAAAAAAAAAAACAAATAAAAACAGTTTAAAAACAAAAATGGAAAAAAATAGTAAAAAGTAATATAAAAAACAAAAGGAGATAGGTAGATACCGTAGTAAGAGATAATATGAAATATATAAATATCTGATATGTATTGTTTATTGACACGTTCATAACTTCGCGATTTTGATCGTATGATCAGCCATGATCACGTTGATTTGGGACCGTGTCCGGGGTTATTTTTTTGATGCATTTAAGGCTTGTAGTTTATAACAATATCAAGAATACGATTTATACAATATGTAGATCAATATGTAACTGTGATGCTAACCCTTGTTACAAAATAAACCAAATTATATACCACCCCCCTGTCGGATCATATGAATATTTTCCATGATGCATATCAAATTAATAGCCTATCGCTATATTTATGTTATCACTATAGCGATAGGAAAACAATCGCTAGTAATAGACAGTATAGTAAATATTCTTTACATAGTAATTATAGTAATTGAAGTAATTAAAGAGTATACCTTAAGAAAAAAAAACTAAATATATATATATTTATTGGTAAAATAGAGATTAAATGAAGCATTTGCAAACAGAAAATAATACGCTAATATATAATAAGAACCTTGTTATTTCAATATGCACAAATTATACATGTCAAACCTCTCTATAATCACACCCTTGGTTTTGAGAATTTAGTGCTTATAGAGAGTTTGTGCTGGAGGTTAAATTTTATAAGTGTTATGTAAGTTGGTTTTAAAATTTGTGATTATAAGCAAATGTGACTATAGAGGAGGTGACTATAGAGAGGTCTAACTGTACATGAATACTTGCGCCAAAATTTATTAACAAATAATAATATAAACTAATTATTTCCAAATACATGAATACTTGTGCCAAAATTTATTTAACAAATAATAATATACGTACTATACTTATATATATATACATATATACCAGATATATTAAGATAACTTTTTGATTATTCAAATTATTAGTTTCTAAGAATGTGAATCGATTAATTTTTCAACCTTACTAAATTTCGGTATGTCACTTTCACAATATTTTCCTTTTAAAGATAAAAAAATTATCATCCATGATA